TTTTGTTGATGATCTTTTGCCATCGGTTAGGCAGTATCATAATACCACGTTCATAAAATTTCTGATTTTTGCTATCAAAAAACTGAATTAGGTGTAAAACAAAATCCGCAATTACTTAGTTTGCCAATCCAATACATGGTCTTTCTAATTTCTCATGCGAATTTGTCCTTTTTTCTTTCTTAGTCCTAAACTCAAAAATAAGAAATAATTTTGATTGATTATTTTATATTTTATTTCATTTTTATCATTGTTAATATTGATTCTGAATATAAATTAATATTTTCATTTGTTCTAGTAATTTTTCTCCAATAGTTTGTTGAATATTATTTGATTAAGAATTTATATTAATCATGTTTGAGATTTATTACAAAATTAATTGTGATTTTAATATTGATTTTGAATATAAATTAATATTTTCATTTATCCTATTAATTTTTCTCTAATAGTTTGTTGAATATTTTTTTTTTTTGTGAAGAATTTATATTAATCATGTTTGATTAATTTGAAAATTAAGTGTTTGGTAACGCGTAGGTGTGAGGAAGGTTTACACGTAGGTGATTGGATTTGTATCATTAATAAAACGTTTGAATGTACTTTTTTTTTTTTTAAAGAGATAAAATAGAAAAAGACTAAGATTAATTTGAAAAATAATAATAGGTAAACAAGGTGTTTTATAATTACGAGAAATATTATTATTGTGAAATAATTATTATTATTATTAAAGTATATTGTAATTATTATTGTGTATTATTAAATTACACAATGTATATATTATTATATATAATAATTACATAAATATATTCTATATTTAATTATTGGATTGACAAATAAATAATTGCATATTTTATCAATCATTTTCCTTGGAAAATCCGCAATTATTTAGTTGTCAACCCAATACTCAAATATAGAAGTATTATTTTTGTAATTAATATTGGTGTTCAGTGTATTGATTTGAGAAAGGTTTAAATATGTGTAGGTAACATTCTTTCTATCATTTATAAAAAAAAAAAATAGAAAAATAATAGAAGATGACAAACGTGGGTTTAGAAGAAATAAAAATAATATTTTTATGAACATTTCTTACTATCTTCCTTTATTTTTTTAATCTTTTATTTATTTACATTTCATTTTCATTAATTTATTTATTTTTCCTATTATTATAGAAACTTGTCTATCGATAGATGAAAAATATTAAAAATGCATTCTTTATAAAGACTAATGATAACTATATACACCAACATAATTATCTATCCAGTTAGTAATTTAAAGTAAATAGGATCAAAAGAATTTCAAACTTTTCCGTAAAGTTGTTCTTTTAAAAAAGAAAGTTAACTATGTAATAACTTTATCTTTCAGTTCACTTGTATCGATCTCTCTACCGGAAAGATATCTCTCTCTTTCTCTCTCTCTCTCTCTCTCTCTCTCTCTTGTCCTCTCTTTAGATCCAGCTTCGAAAGAGTCACAGGAAATACCACGTCTCTTTCCCGTATCTCGGAGCCGACGTTTTCTGCGAAAAACATCGGAGAATTACGTCGGATCCTTCTTCACCAACGAGAGAGTTCGCTGATCGCTTGGACCTTCTTTACTTTTTCGATATATCGAAGTAAAAGAATAAGAAAAGTAACGGGGGTCGGAAAGGGGAGGGGTTGGTAGAGGAGAAGTGCACACACACACACACACACACACATTAACACATTTATACATAAAATATACCTGTAAAATACGCTCATATGTGTACATTTACATTCAAACACACAACCATATACGCACACGTACAAGACAGACACACACAAAGCAGCATACACAGACAGACAGACAGAGGCAGATACACATAGACAGACATAAACAGACACACAACATACAGTGTATTCGAAAAGTGGTCGTTTGGTATGTGCTCGCGTGCTCGCATACCTGAAGTGAATGCGTGTATACGATCAAAGAAAAAGAGAGAGAAAGAGAAAGAGAGACTGGACGTCTGTATATATTAGATAAAGAACAAGAGAGTGAGAGAGATGGTAAAGCTTCAAGGTTAGCCAGAGAGACGTATGAATGGACGTCGTATGCATGAATGGGTTGCTATACGCACTCGAGAGAGGCCAACTGGTATTGGACGACAGTCTTCGATACGCACCTTGCTTTCTTCTCTCTTTCTTTCATTTTTTATTTCTTTCTTTCTTTCTTTTGTATTTTATCTTTCAATGCGTAAGAGTTGATATTTTCTATATTTGTGTACGTTTATTGGCTTATCTTTCTAGGATATGGATAGAAACGTTTGTGTGTATGTGTGGATGTTTGTATGTGTAGTATTTTTATTCATATGATTTTATCTTTTGAGATTAACTATTGGTGTAACAATCTTTAGCTAGAAACGTATGTGTATGTGTTGTATGTGTAGTATCTTTACTCATATGATTTTATCATTTAAGAAACGTATGTGTGTGTGTGCGTGTGTGTGTGTGTATGTATGTGGAATATCTTTACTCATATGATTTTATTTTATGAGATAAACTATTGGTACAGCTATTATTTTTAGTTTTGTATTCAAGTTGTTGTGTTGGTTAGTAATTTTTTGAGATTTGATATTATTTAATTATAATACGAAGAATATTCTTTTAATTATTATTTTTTAATATGTTTTTAAAGTAGTAATTATATCGTGATTTTATTTTTTATATGTTTTTTTTTAATATATATATTTTATAGGAATTTTTTTTTTTTTTTTTATAAAGCAAGAAAGTATATGAAATGAAAAAAAAAAAAAATTAACGATAACAATTTATAAATCATTTGTAGCAATTTTTATTTTATATTTCTTTTTTAAATATTTTTTTCTATAATATATTTATTATAGGAATTTTTATTTTTTATTTTTTTTTTTTTTTTTTATTATTATGCAAGAAAGTATAAGAAATCAAAAAATAAATTAACAATAACAATTTACAAATCATTTATTCCCATTTTGCTATTGTAACTTAAAAAAACCATAGAATTATTTCTATTTTTTTTTTTTTTCTATTTCACAGTGGAAACAAAAAATGAGTGGATAAAGGAATTAAAAAAAAAATTAATAATAATAATAAAAATTAAAGAAAAGAATTAAAAGGTTGAAAAAATAGACATCGGTTTTGTTTTTGTCAAAGATGCATTTTTAATAATACCTGCGAAGGACGGTTTTCCTGATGCATTTTAAAATAACAAGAAAATTTGTTCGATCACATTTTTTTCTTCTTCTTCTCTTTCTTCTTTTCTTTCATAAACAATAATCGAAAAGATACAAGTGTTACGATTCGTTAGAAACGATGTAAAAGAATTGTATTTTTTCATAAACGTAAAAACAGTTGTTTTTGTTTGTTTCGTCGTGGAACATTTGTTCAAACAATTTCAAACAATTTCGAAAATATTCTTATCCCCATCATTATCTAATTTCTTTTTCTTTTCGCAGATAAACAGGCACGCGTAATATTTTTTTTTACCTCGCACACATTTTCTTACACCGTGCGACACAAAATTATGCGTTTAATTTTTTTTATTATTATTATTATTATTATTATTTAACACGGTTTTTTACACGCACTCGCATGTGTTGTTTACGAAGTACACGTATAAGTCGTACAAATATATTCATTAAATGTTACTATAATATATAATCATATTAATTATATAATAATATTATATTAATAATAATTATAACCATAATAATAATAATAATAATTATAATATAATAATTATATAATAATAATAATAATAATAATAATATATAATACAATATAATATAATATAATTATAATAATAAAAAAACGATACGTTTTTTTTTTTGATTTAACAAGAGTATAAATAGGACTAGATTTCGTTAGACTGAATTTTTATCGATTAATACGATATTTTCATAATATATAGTCTTTAAAAACAAAAAAAAATATATTTGATAAACAAAAAAAAATAAGATCGTCGCGTTCTTTTTTTTTTTTAATTCAAAAAGTCTCACTCTGGGTTGCACTCGGTAGAAGAAAAACAACAACAAGAAGATTCAACAACAAATGCACTTTCCCCGTTCTTTTTCTATTTTACTTTTTTTTTTTTTCTTTATTAATTATTTAATAAATTAACGGTTGGAAATAACTATAGGGAAGACTTTTATCAACATTTTTGTTGTTATAATTACATTTATATTTTCTTTTTGTTCTTATCCCCTTTTTTCTTTTTCTTTTACAATAATTTAGATATAAAAAATTTAATCGGGAAATATTCTTTCGAACTTTCACTTTCTTTTCTCTCTGTCACGAAAAATTGACGTGACACGAGAAACGCACCGTTCTTTGGTTAACACGTTCTTCTTCTTCTTCTTCTTCTCTTTTTATTATTTATTTATCTGTGTGTGTGTATGTGTGTGTGTGTATGTGTATAGATATATATTTACACATGTACAATTCCAGTCTCCCTCCCATCTTTGGCACAAAAGCTGTGATTGAACTTTACATCGTTTAATTTCTCGATAAGATGAAAGACGAAGGAAGATAATTGTAAATAAAAAATAAAATTAAAAAAAAAAAAAAACAAAGCTCGTTATGTACAAACTTTTTCATAAAAATGTCACATCATTGATAAAATTTTTTGTTCATTTCGTACGAAAGCTCGCGTATACAACAACAACAACAACAACAAAAATGAATTAACATCGATTAAAATATCTTGCAATATTACAAAAATAGTTAACCTTTTTTTTCATTCAAAAAAAAAAAAAAAATATTTATCGTAATAAATAAATTTATTATTATTTACAATAATCAAAGATCATTTTTTTTTTTTTTTTTTTAATTTATTTCATCTTTTTTTATTTAATTACGAACGCATCACAGATCATAAAAGGCGTAGTTTATCTAATTTGTAAAATAATTATCTTTAATTCCTGACGCAACCCTGTCAACCAATTAATTATCCTACACGTTTACCAAATAAAGAAATTTACACGTGAATAGCGAGCACTAAACAATTGTTTTTTTAAATTTCTACTTGCTGCATTTAAATGCAACAACTTGCAAGTGAAAAAAAGAAGGAAAGAAAAAAAATTAGAAAGAAATAGAAAGTGATAGAACATTTATGACTTATCGTTATCATTTAATTCCATTGGTGCATATTTTCATAACCCCGAGTATACACACCCTCCCACATCCCTCGTTTAACAGCAAATAAACTTTATCGTTTCCGTGGCCGAGAATTCGAAGACAAGCACACACATACACACACACATATATATATATATATACACGTACACGTACAAGAAGCACCAATATCACACTTTAGTTTTATTTTGTTCACGTGAGAGGAAGAGTTCGATGATCTTCGACGAATGTAGGTGAACCGTCGAGATTTGGATGAGAAATTGGTGATGGTGATGGTACGATACCAGTTGCGTCACTTTCAACGTCACCCTCGACTATTTCACCCTCACCGTTGTTAGATAATTCGCGCACATTACCCGGGAGATAATCTTTCCAGCTTCGAAACAAATATCTCGTGAATTTTCTCAATTGACGAAATTTACAATAAGTTGCACCCTCAGCAGATTCCAATTGTTGTGTTTGAATGAGAAAACCTTTTTCTTTGAAGGTTTGTTCAAGTTTTTCTCGTTGAAGTGATTTTCTAGTTTTACGTTTACGTCGACCATCTTCTTGGCTGTTTGAACGTTGACAAACTACCGGTGGTTGGACTTTTTCACCTGATGCATTTAAAAATGCACCTGCCGATGAACCCGATTGACCGGCTTGTTGTTGCAGTGCTTCACGTGGAAAAAATTCGTAACCTCGCATACTTTTGTCGCCTGTACCACTGTAGTATCTGAAGTTACCACCTGAATCCACCGAGAGACTTTTTTTCTCTTGCAAACTCGGTTTGGCACCACCGGTGAATTTAAATTTGCATATGCTCACCTCAGTAGCAGGATTGTTGTTGTTTTCCGAAGGCATCGGTGGAATGAAAATAGCCGAACGTTTTCGTTTAGTTGGTTGTCCTTGGTTTTGAGCAACCGGTGCATTTCTTTTAGGTCTGGGTGATAACGGTGGTTGAACTGGAACCGTTAAGGGTTGTTGAGGTGTTGTTGGTGTTGTTGGTGACACTGAACTCGAATTTTTCGTATCCATCATCGAGTAAATCGATTTGGGTACTATTTTTTGTTCTTTTTGAGAATATTCCGTGCCACGTGGTAAACATTTATCATTCTGTGCCATTTTTTGATAATAAAGTAACTGTGATTGCAAAGCCATGGGATGAATGAAGACACCAGCGTTAGGAAAATACACGAATCCTGGATTTGGTGTAACCACTGGATCCGTGGACCCATCCGATCCGTGATTAATGTTGTTGTTATTGTTGTTAACATGATTCGTCGAATCTGCTAATCGATTTGTTGAGTTTGCAAATGTCGTCCCCAAACACTCAACGTCTTCTCCATCGCTAGAGGCTTCGCTTTTAACTTGTCCAGACTCGTAAACGTTTCCGTGTTTCCTAAGCAATCTGATCTTCAATTGATTGAGATCTCTGATACAGAGATTCAACGGTTCATCTTGTTCGTTAGTATTATCCGTCAAGACAAAATTCCGCCTAGTCTCTTGGGTAAGACGTTTTTCTAAAAGACTACTAATCCTATTCTGAACATCGGTACGTTGGAAGGGTATCTGAGGTGGTAACTGATCCCGACAATCAGGTTTCTCTTGAGGAGATAATCTTTTTTCTTCATGACCAGGTGTTCCAGGTAATATGGTCCCATAATTCTTGTAAATCAAATGACAAATGTCTGCCTTTTTGGGTTTACGTCCTCTCCTAGGTTTACTATTGTCCAACGTTATTTCACCCATGTATGGTAGATCGGAATATTTCATAGGTGGTCTCGTTGTAGATGTTTGCTGAGATGATTGCTGAACATGTCCATGATTATTATGATTGTTATTATTATTATGATGATGATGATTGTGATGATGATGATGATGAGGAGGCACAGTGTAGGCATGGGACGATGTAGATGTAATCACCGATCGTCTTGATGCCGATGCTTGACCGGAATTAAAGTTCGTACATTGTTGGGTCATCGTTTGGGGACAAAGTTCTTGTTGCATTGCAGCAATGCGTTGCAACCAACCATGAACATCGGCAATGGGACTAGGCGTTGAAGTAGCACTTGTTGGTGCAGGACTTGGTGCTGTTTGTTCACTGGTATGAGTTGGTGAGGATGAATTTAAGGCCTCTTGTGCAAGTGAAGCTTCGTAATGGTCGAGATATTCTGGTGGTAAAGCTTGATGATGAAACTTCAGTTTCCATCTTGATTTCCTTCTACCCCGACTGCAACAGTAACAAAAAAAAATACCAAATATATTTCTAATTGAAACATTTATTCTTCTAGTGTGTATAATCTATTGTCTTTTGCTGCAGGTGAAAAATAAAAAGTGTATTATTCGATAATTGACCAGAGTCATATAAGAAAGGAAAATCTAGACTCTCTGTTGTGAATAACTCTACAAAGGCAACAACATCGTTCCTTCATTAACCTCGTCCGTTGTCGATAACTGCATTCCGAACCACACCTCTTTACGGCAATCTAATACACCGCGTTGCTTACTGTAAGACACCTTAGATCGCGTATGCAGCAGAGGGCATATCTTTTGACATTTTTACCTTCCTAGAGTTGTTACGTGGCTTACGATCGTTTATATATATCATCGTCGTAGTCGTTTTGCTCGGTATACGTGTATTATCTTTGAACGTATATATGTGTATATAATGAAATTCAGTAACGGTAATCGACTGGTGGTATTTCAGCGACGCAGAGGAACTTCTTTTTTCCAATCGAACAGTCTCTCTCTCTCGAACGATGTACTTCGGACGATGTAGAACGAACCAGTTTACCCGGCGCCTTATCCTTCTTTACTAGCTATCTTAAGTACCTGCTCTCCTGCAAGTGGCGCAAGCTTTATGTTCGTGGACATCTCGTTAGTAACGTGATACTGCCGTACACTAGAGTTCCCTTTAAAGATTCTTTCTTTCGATAGAAACACAAGCTAACTACAGAGAAAACTTTGAAATAACAGTTCAACACAACAATAACAGCAACTATATCTAATCATGATGAATATATATATATATACCAATTGAATTGGAATCATAAATGAAATGAATGATAATTTACAGGCATATCAAATTACCTGTTTCTATTTCTGTTACTTTGATCGGTAGCACAAGTTTGACCAGGGGTTTCTTCTAAGGTTTGTAGTTGACGATGGTGAACCGATTGTTGATCATTTACATGTTTACCATCCAATGATACTTGCACCGAACTCGTGTCCGTTTGAGGACTACAAAAATCATTATAATATTTTTATGATAATGATTGATTGATTTTAATGATTAGTATCATTCTTAAACTGAACTCACCTGAGTGTACTGGTATCACGACTACGCTCCTCCTCCTCCTGGGGTTCTTGTTTTACAGCCATATGCGTTAGAGGTGCCAATGGGCACTTGATTTGAGTTGACTGATGATGATGATTATGATGATGATGATGCAGATGATTCTGCAAACTGTTATCCGTTAAATCCAAGTCTATGCCAGTTGATTGTGCACGTGGCACGACTTCCTCGGTTTGCATAGTGCCCCCTATATCAAACAGAAGAAAACAAAAATGTTTAGGTCAGACAACATATAAACTATTCCATTATTTATTAATAAAAAATGAATATATAAATAATCATGTTTAACATTGATTCTCATCGTGATCATCATACTTAGATTCATAATGGGAAAAGGTCAGACGTGGGATTTTACAATCGGTTATTACTATTATTATCACTTTGTCTAAAATAGGTATCGAGTAATATTCATAATAAAAATAAAAAAAGTTTTATTAATGAACACGCACTTATTCGCACACACATACACACAGACATTCAATTTATAAACGTGACGATAAGAGTTGGCGCTTAGTGTAAAACCGACGGGCGTGAGAAATGGAATAAAATCGAACAAATGCCCACATGCAGATCCTGATTCTGATTTATAAATGCAGTGTATGTAGGTTTATCTATTAAGTTTACATGTTTTCATTCATGTGTATGTGTATGTGTATGTGTGTGGTGTGTATATATGTAAGTGTTACACCATCAATGGTACACGCGAGTGTGTGGGTTTTTGCGGACGCTTCCAAGGTTTCGGAATCATATAATAAGGAAACGAAGTCATCATTTATGATCCATGACTTTTGTTTGTGGTTAGTTTATTGAAGTTTTTATTATTGTTATCATTTTTTAGATTAATAATATAGGGTAATTATTATAGGATTGTTTATTAAATTTAATGAATGGGGGTGAATTAAATAGTTTTGAACTTTAATAAAAGATATGTTTCAATATTTGTTGCAGGGTGTACAGTAAAATGATTCAGGTAGATTTAAGGTGTTTATATGCACTTTTTTAATAAAGATTACATTCTAATATATATATAATAATTAATTATAATACATATTAATAAATTTATATGTAATTATAATAACATATTTAAATAATAACATATATAATAAATTATAATAAAATATATTACTGATTAATTTTATTATTATAAATTGTTTTTTTTTTATTTTTAAATTAATATTACTTAAAACGATAATTTACATATCAGTATTGATGTTTCAATCTGTTGATTAGAAACTGTTGATTAGACTTAGAATTATTTAACAAATAAAAATAAATATTATCATTGTTTTATAATATTATGTTTTACAGATACGCGTATAGAATTCACATTCATTTTGAATGTATTTGAAATTGTTATCAAAAAGACGGTTTAACTATATTCACATGAAAAACTTGTTTCTAATAAAATCCTTCGGAACGAGATAAAAGGGATAACATTGATCGTGGTCGAAAACGATTAGAGGTCGTTGTGTGTATTCTTATCGTTTATCTCTTACAATACACACACCAAAGTGTGTGTACTTTCAAACCTAAAGAGAGAGAAGACGGTTTACATGAGTTTTCTCATAAGATAGAGAGAGTGTGTTGCTTGCTCGTAGAAATATTTTCAAGATTTGTTGTAAAAAAAAAAAAAAAAAATTCACAGACTCGAATAAGAGGTTTGAAAAGACACAGACAAAGATGAATAAAAAAGAAAAAAGAAAAAAAAATGTAGAAAGGAAAAGAGAAGGAGGAGAAATGGTGGAGAAGGTGGATGGGGGAGGAGGAGGTGGAAGAAGAAGAAAAAGAAGAAGAAGAAGCAGTATGTATAATACTAACTTTACAGCACCGCACAGGATAAAAATATTCAGGTACGGAAATAGAACTGGACACACGTACAAGCCCACCACCCAACACCCGCAATTCTTCGACCTTACTTGGCTTTACTCGATCGGGTTTCATTTCTTTACTGCCAACCAGCACCTTACTTGATGCTGTTCTTACTGTTATTGCTACCAAACACCATTTACTGAAATCTTTCCTTACACATTCTCAAATATCTAGGAATGTTTTCAAGTACAAGAATATCTGTTACTATAAATGTAGGATTTTTTATTTTTTTTTTCTTGTTTTTTTTTTTTGTATAATTTCAAGATCAATATTTTCGATCAAAAATTTGACTACTTTTGTTAAAAATAAAAATGAAATAATTTGTTTCAGTTGAATCCCCCAATTGTAGATTAGATTTTTGTATCGTACGTTGTACTGTTAAAAAATTAATATATACAGTAGTATCTTTATTAAATCTCTTCTTTTATTTCATTTTTCTTTTCTATATTTTCAAGATTAATATTTTCAATTAAAAATTTGGATATTTTTGTTCGAAAGAGACGGAAAATAATTTGTTTTATTGAAACCAATTATTATAAGCTCAATTTTGTCATCGTTTTGATATAAATATGATATAATTATTATTATTATTAAACAGAAGTATTATTTTTATAAATCATAAATCATTTTTCCTTCTCAAAAATAACATGAAATGGGAAGAGTAGGTAGAGGAGGGGGTTGATTCGTTGGTTGATTTGAGAATTTGAAGATAAAAAGAAAGAAAGATGATCGGCACGCACGATTGCATGTAATCGAAAAATGAGAGCACCAATGGGATGTAAAAGGATGTTCCAAGCCAATTTCGATATTTTCTTATGGTGAATTATAAGATGAAGAAAAAAAAAAATTCAAAGAGAGAAAGAAAGAGAGAGAGAGAGAGAGAGAAACTATGTTGCGGTTGAGAATGTGTAGAGTCGTTATGCATATGATCAAAACGCGTTCTCGTATACGCATGATTGCACGCGAGATATACTTGTAAATCGATATATTCCATTTTTTTTTTTTTTTAATCGATAAAAAACATTCGTTGATGTTTCTCCAGTGAAAGGTTTAACAACAACAACAACAAAATAAAAAAAATTAAAAATAAATTAAAACTAAATTACGATTAACATTAAAATAAATTGCTGATCATAAATTGATTCATTCTCTAAAAAATATTCGTAAGCCTATTATCGATATATTAACAATATTTTATTGGTATTTATTTATATTATTTGTTTGTTAATATTTAATATATATATAAATAAATATAATAAAATATAAATAATAATTAATATCCCTAATATTATTATATATATTAATATATATCTGTTTTTTAAATATATTTTTGTATTATTATATTTTATATTATTTTTATATTATATTTATATATTATATTTTATTATTATATTTTTTATATTAATATATATTAATATATACCAATGTGGTTAAATTACATATAAAAATTATTCTWAAAAAAAAAAAGTATTTTTATAAAAATACATATATCAGCATCGTATACATTTAATTAATTATTTAAATCAATCATTATATTATATTTGAATTAAATATTATACTAAAGTGTACATAATTAATATTATAACCAAAAAAAAAAAATTGAAAAATACTAATGAAAAACACTTGTTAACAAGAACGTGTGTGAATCATAAACTCATTAACGTTTGCTTATCATAGTGGTGTACCTTTATAATTAATTATAACCCGTTAGAATACTTAAGTGTTAATATATATCAAATGTATAGTACGATAAAAGCAGACAGATAAAAAGAGAGAGACAGAAAGAGAAAGAGAGAGAAAGAGAGAGAAAGAGAGAGAGAGAGAGAGAGACGTACACATATGCAAATGCACACATACACATATGAAAAGTCAAAAAGGCACACCCGATTCATTGAAGCTCGCTTATAGAATGATGCAGGCGGGCGCGTAACTACAATTTATTTTTTGGCTATTTTTAGAGGGCGGCTGGCATAGCGCCACTATTTTCGGTTCTCTCTCAAATTTCTCACTCCATATTTGGGATTATGTATGACGGGAGACTTACTCTCACTCTACACAACTCTAACTTGGTGTATCTTTACAAGTCAGCTACGTCAAATAATACTTCTTCTCTTCTATACTCTTCTTTTTTCTTCTTTCTCTTTCTTTCTTTCTTTTAAAGAGAAAAAAGTAACGTAATAATTTACGAGTGAGAGAGAGAGAGAGTAAGCTTTTAAAATAATGACATAAAAGATTCATAAATCAAATATATTTATCTATATATGTATGTGTATATGTGTATTTGATTATTATATTTTTATATTGATTATTATTTATCATTTGAGTGAAATAATTTATATTTGATTATTATTTAATTATTATTTATATATATATATATATTTATCTTATTATAATATTCTTTTTATTATTATATATTATACTATTTATTTTATATATTATTATTATTATATATTATATTATTTATTTCATGAGACTTCATGTTTCATTTAGACATTCAGATTTCATTTAGACTGACGATAATTTTGCATAAATTCTTTCATATTTGTATTTTTTTTTTTTTTCTTATTATTTTAATGGAAAGTAAAAAAGACGAACTCTTGAATTAATCGAAATCGTGAAATCGATACTCCAGGAACATGTATAAGTTGCTTTGATAGATATTTACGGACAACAAGTGGACTTAAAATGTTTCGTTAAAGTATACGAACCATACGATGCATGTGTGTACCTATCTTTCTCTCTCTCTCTCTCTCTTTCTCTATCTTTCTCTCTCTATCTTTCTTATACAATTGGCAGGAAGACAACTAGGTTAAAAACGGAAAGTCAGCTGCAATACTCAAAAATATGTCAAGGTGAGGAGAAACAAAAAAAATATATATATACACACTTCGACAGGAAGTGTTGTTAATGTAAAACAGGAGTTTTGAGCTTTCACTTCAATTGCGGAAATGACATTATTAAATATTAAAAATAAGAAAAAATAAATAAGAGGATGAGATAAAAAAAAAACATTTACTACAGATGAAATTTTGAATATTGTAAAAATTTACGATACAAAAAAATATATATATTTATTTAATTGCAAATATAACACAAATAGGATTTTATTTATGGAAAAGTTAGATCAATTATTCATAAATTATTATTATTATTATTATTAATATTGTTATTAATAATAACTGTAATATTCACTATTTTAATAAGTTTATTCGTTTGAATGATACATCGATATTTACAAAGTATGTTAGACAACGTTACATTCGTGAGAATGAAATACAACCACGTGGTTAGAAACACATCGAAATTCGAACGTTGTATTTAATAATTCAAATTCAAATAATTTCGAATAAAATTAAATAACAAAAATGACATATATAAATTTACCTGTAACGGGAAAGTTGCTTTCTGGCAACATGAACGTATCTTCCTTGTTTACGGAACACTTGTCTCAATTAAAATAATCGAGGTCCTTTAAAAATAGGACCAAATTAAATTTCAATAATAAAATCAAAATTTAACATCCAACAACAAAATGAACAATATCTTCTTCCTCTTCTTCTTCTTCTTTTTCTTCTTCTATTTCTTCATTTTTCAATAAATAAAACACCGAAGAACACACAGATGATAATATCACTTGCAATTTGTTTGTGAGACAACCACTTGTTACAGTTTAAATCCATGAAATAAAAGTAATGAAAGGTAAACCGGGAGAACGTAATATTCGCATGATGTTCATCGATGTACAAAGAAAGAGGGAAGACTGAGGAAAGAGAGAGGGATCACCCTCTGTAGGGATGACGATCTCATCCCCACCTTTCAAATGAGTCTGGTTGGATCAGGGATGAGGAAAGGAAGAAGAAAGGTGATATGAGAACTCTGAGCACGTGTCTTCCTTACTTGCTTACTTGAGTTGACTTTGTGGGGGAGAAATGAGAGTAGAAGGAGAAGATGAAGATGAAAAAAAGAAGAAGATGAAGAAGAAAATGAAGAAAAGATGACGATGAAGATGAAGGAAAGATGACGATGATAACCAAAATGACGAAGAATGAATTAGATGATCAAGATTGGAATGTAAAATTGGAGGTTAGGTGGGGGGTAAGATGGTGGATAAAATGTGAGGTTAGGTAAGGGGTAAAATGGTGGATAAAATGGGGGGTTAGATGGTTAAGATAATAAAAAAGAAAAATAGGAAAAAATATATATATATATATATGTGTATGTATATATGTGTGTATATAAGGAGGAGTGTGTGTGATGGAAGGAAGGAAGAAGCATGGGACCGTTTTGAGATACTTTTGGCACTGTTACTAATACGACGGGCCAAGCAGCAGTAGCAGCAGCAACCCCGAGAAGCATTTCCATCTCCGTCGCGACGGCCGACGACGCCGAGTGAGGAGGCGGGGGCGTATATTCTCGATTTGGGCGGATGGAAATCTGAGATTGCTCCATATCGGGCTGTGCCTCACTCAGTGTGGCCACAGAGACGTGTGTACTCTGTAATAGCAGACACTTCTCTCCTCTTCCACCTCCTTCAACCTCCTCCACCCTTCCTTCCTTCCTTCCTTCTCTTTTACTCTCATTCTGTGTTAGTTCTCTCTCTTTCTCACGTGTGTATTCGCGTTCCTTCGATATTTCTATTTCTCTCTTACTAATTGAAGATTCACGTACGTGTTCGTCTTTCTTTAACTTTGATATCTTCTATCTTATTCACTCTTTTCTTGTTTGGTTTGTTTCTTTTTTTTTTTTTTTTCATTTTTCTTTCTGTCTTTCATCTCACTTCATCCTTCGATTTGCTGTTCTCTATGATCCGAGTACCAAGGGTATATTTAACCCCGCGAACCACCAACCAGAGAGAAATCGAGACAAGCACAAGCCACTTCTTGCTTCTTCTTGCTTCTTCTTCTTCTTCTTCTTCTTCAGTTTCTTATGTGTATGTGTATATACGTGTACGTGTGTGTATATTCGTATTCTTATTCCATTCTTCTCCACCTCTTCTTCTTCTTCTTCTTCTTGTTCATTTTGTACTTTTTGTTGTTGTTTTTCTTGTCTCTTTACTTTCTTCTCATTTGAACGTTTCGTTTTTCTTCTCCTACGCTACAGAAAACACGTCTCGCATTCCCTAGCAAAAGCCAAGTGAGAATTCTTTAATTTCCGATGCACAATAAGTCAACAGCGACCTTCCTTCGAAGACTGGAGTCAAACCCCTTACTCCCACCCCCACTGAAGAGTGTTAAATTACACCATATAAGTATCTACCGCTCGTTAAAACCTACACTCCACGTGCCTTTCGTATATTCTTACCTATATTACTGTATTTTTTTGTTTGTATAATATATGATTGTATATATACATATATATATATAGGATGTCTACGAGTATCCCGTTATATTTATATATTTTTGTTTTATTGTTAGTAGATTTTTATAATTGATATTTTTGTATTTTTTTAATCGAATTTAGTTTAGTATCGTAGAAAAATTATTTGAGAATATTTCTTGAATATGTTTGATGAGAAATACGGATTGTTAATTAATTACGAATTATTAATAATATAGTAATTATTATAATATTATAATATAATAATTATATTATAAATAAATATAGAGTATATATAATATATACATAATAATATAGCAAATATAGTATATATAGTAAATACAGTTATTATTATAATATAATAATAAAATAATAAAATAATAATAATATAATTATTATATAATTAATATTTACTAAATTACAAATAATTACTAATTATTAAAATATAATAAATATATTAATAATACTTAAACTCAAATGAAATCTTATCTTCTGAATTTTTGTTTAAAACATTCATTTGATCATCATCTTTATCTGTATATTCAAAACGATAATTTGTCACAAAACAATGGGATTAATACGAATGGTTTATTTTAAAACATATTATTAAATGTATCATAAAATATAAAATAGAAGGTATGCAAACATATTAAAAGTTAAAAAACGTTATAATAAATGTAAATGTTTCTAATGCGATTTGTATATGCCTAATGATGATGGTAATGATGATAATGATGATGACTATAATGGAGGATAGAATTTGTACGATTGTGTATGTACCACATACAGAACTATAAGTATAAGTAAGTATAAGAAGAAAAAGAAGTTTGTTTCTTTCTTTCTCTTGGCTTTGTGAGATCTGCGAATGGTGTGCTAGTGGAGGCGTACATTATATTCCCGTATAGGTTAACCTACCCCGCCCACTTACGAGATACGTGTCCCAATACCTGGCAGCGATATGTCAACAGCTACTTTCCACTCTACGGGTTCTGGCTGGCACACACAAACGTTATGCTCTTTTATCTTTTGCGAAAAACTACGTAACACAACGAGATTACAGATCCTGTAGCTTTTAGCCGCCATTACTACAGATCCAACTTTATATATACAAGTTTTCCATACTTCCTTTCGAACTACTTTTGAAATATAAAAGTTAAAGAATATTATCGATAGATTTACTTTATTATTTATCTTTATTTTTAATTTTTTTTAATTTATTATCGGAAATTTGTTAGTAGGTTTCTTTCTTTCATATATTATAATCTATAAATTTTAAGTTTTGAATGTGTTTTGTTGAAATTTTGGAAATTTACTTTCGAATGCTTTCGAATTACTTTTGCAATAAAAAAGTTATCAAATATTATTTATTTCTTTATTTATTATTTATCTTCATTTCAATTTGGTTTTTTTATTATTTGAAATTTGTTAATATCTTTTGTTTTCTTTGTTTCATATATTATAACTTATAATATTACAACCTATAATATAATATATATATATAACCTATAAATTCTAATTTTTGAATATGTTATCTTAGAATATAGAAATTCTCATGAGATAGAATTTGATTTATAGAAATTTATGGAATTATAAGAACATGTCTTTATTAAAGATTGATTCATCTTTCTAATATTAAAATACATACTACGATAAAAATAAATACTTGAATAAATAATCCAATAATTAAATTCAAAGAATTTAATAAACCTTTCATTCAAATATTCATTCAATTTGTTCTGATAAATAATCAATTACAATTTATTTTTAAAATTATTTATATAAATCATTTCATCGAACTCACACGCAAAAGTTTTGATAAAGAATTCTACAAACAATTCTCAAAGTTATTGAACTTATTATAGAAATCGTAAAACACAATAAATCGGAAGACATTTTCTTATTAAACATTATAAGGATAACATGTGTTATTTGAAATTTATACATTAGAAATAATTTATTAAAATAATGTTAGTCTATATCTAATGTTGTACAAGAACATTTCTTGGCTCTCGTTCACACGAGTCCGCTCATTGCACCCGTTTAAATAATGCACGTGTTGTGAGAACGTGTTTCACGCATGCATGGTCACATGTGTATGTAGTGTGGCATTGTGTACATATGTATAACAACTTTTCTCACACGTTTAGGGATGTTAATTTGGGTTGAGTCATTTAATTGAAATCATTGCAAATCGGTGTTACATAAAAACTATCAATGATCCTTTTCCAAGATTCAAATATGCAGCATGAAATTAAATCAAATGACGAATAAAAAAAAAAAAAAGCATATAAATCATTTGAAAAAAGAAATTATAATACAAAGAATTTATATGGAATAAATTATAAATGATTTTCAACCCAATTCGAATGATCGAGATTTATATGGTGAAGTTTCAATTCTACGTGGGTGATGATTTTGGTCATGGGGAGAGATTAGGTTAGCCCATTGGGACATATATGTGACATATACACTTTTAACCGGTTAGTCAACTAAAACTAGTTTGTACCTGATTTTAAACACCAAAATTAAGCTTCCTCTTTTAAATGACTAAGATTTTTCTTCAAAATTTAAAATAACTCGATCAATTTCATTCATCTTTATTTGTTCTTTTAATTATATTCTTAATTAATTAATGTTACGTAATTTAGGATACACCGATAGAAATATATTTAATTAATTGAACGAATAATTAACAATTTTATTATTTTATTATTTGTGTATTTTGTTTTAGTGTCAAATTTAAGAAAAAAACAAAAAAAAATAAGAAATTATATTTGATTTATTTTTAAATCAATAGTCATAAATTGTTCTTACAAGATTATACATCTATCTATCTATATATATATATATAATAAATGTACATAAATCAAACGATGAACGTACATATGACTAAACTAAATTTAGAATGAGGAAAATAAATGAGCACACAAGCGTGAAAAGAAACTTTCACAAAACTGTGATATGTCCCAAAGGTTGTCGGTCACTTAGAAGAAATCATCATAATCATAATCATCATCACCTTCATCGAATCATGAAGAATATATAAAGAATATAATAAGAATAATAAGAAGTTGATTCAAACCGGATGATCGTTATAACGTTCCTTTCGATTTAAGAGAACTCTCTCGTAGAAGTGAAATCCGTTTCTCACGAGTCTCACACGAGTAGTAAGTATGGACCACCATCAGCTTACAGTTAGAGTCCAATTGGGTTCGCCCACGCATTGTAAGTAGAAATCGAAAAGGAAGAGTAGAGAAGGTGTCACCAATACTACTACTACTACTATGTTACTAGCAATACCGTTAAAATTGTTTCTACCTCTCATGCCCAACCTCCCCTCCCTTCCCCCCTCCCCCCTCCCGCCACCTCACCCCTACCTTAGTTAAACTATATTCAAAAGATACTAATATTCGATAGATAGATAGATAAATGTATTGATTTGTGTCCAGGTGTTTAGTATAATGGAACTAACTACATGTGAGATGTGAAGAAAAATAGTTGTACTTTAGAAAAACTTGATAAATGTATTGATTTGTGTCCAGGTGTTTAGTACAGTGTACTAAAGTAATATAAGTACACTTAACCTATAAACCTAATGAACTTAAACCTAATGACATTAAATTATTATTAAGTATACTTAATATAATATAAAATTAAAAAAATATTTTATACTGAATAAATAATATTATACTAAAAAAACCATATGATACTAAATAGAGAATATTATTCTAAAAAAAAAAAAAAACTATATTATACTAAATAAAAGTAGTTATACTTAACTATTGTATAATACTAACTACATATTGTAGAAACACGTGAGTTAATTACTGTAAAAAAAGAACGTATTTTATGATAGAAAAAAAGCAACGTTTTGCTTTGGAAATTATGAGACGT